TGGGGAATCAGACTCCCAGGCCCGAGGTCTCAGGCTGGGGAAGTTACTGAGGGGGCGGGACTCTGGAAGTGGTAGGGCCTGGGGGAGGCAGCGTGGGGGTGTACGGGAGGGCCTTTGGCATCGTGTGGAATCTAACAAGGCTGCACGGTTGTAATGAGGACTCACAGTGGGGCCGAGCTAGGTCTAGATGAGGCGGGGTCAGGACCGTGGGGTGGAGAGGATGAGCGGCCGGGTGTCTCGCTTTAAGGAGCAAGGTGAGCATGTAGCGGTTTCAGGGCTCAGCCTGGCGTACACATGACTGGGCATGACCTGGGAAGGTGGGGCAGGAAAGGGCAAATTCTTCAAGATATGGGCAGGGTCTGGAATAGGGCAGGGCCTAACTGTGTGGGGTGAGGTCTGAGCTGCAGAATTGTAGCCGGCTGGGGACGAGTCAGAGTTGGGCGGGGCCCAGCCTTGGGAGGGCGGAGTGAGTCCAGTAGCTGGAAACCTATTGGTTCGGGAGCGGAGGCCGAGCCTGGAGCGGGACTTGCCGCGCACCACGACTCCCCCTCCCTTGCAGGTGTATAGCAGCATGGAGCAGCTGTCGCAGCATGAGCCCAAGACCCCCGTGGCGGCCGCGGGGGGCAGCAAGCGGGAGCCTAGCGCCAAGGGCCTAGAGGAGAAGGTGGCCGGCAAGCGGGAGGGCCTGGGCAGCCTGACCCTGCGCGAGAAGAGCTGGAGAGGGGGTTCCCCAGAGATGTGAGCAGGGGTAGGGCTAGGTTTGGGGAGCGGGGACGAAGGGGTGTGTCGCCCCTGACCACGCCCCCTTTCAGCAGCAAGCGCTTCTCGGCGTCCGAGGCCAGCTTCCTGGAGGGGGAGGCGAGTCCTCCCTTGGGCGCGCGCCGCCGGTTCTCGGCACTGCTGGAGCCCAGCCGCTTCAGCGCCCCCCAAGAGGATGAGGATGAGGCCCAGCTTCGCAGATCCCCCAGGCCCAGCTCTGACCCCCCAGGGTCGCTGGATGTACGGGTCCCCAAAGAGGCAGCTCAAGGGGATGGCACCACCAGCGCCGGGGACTCCGAAGCCAGTGAGTTTCCCCTCCCGCCGCCTTCCCTAGTTCCCAGTGGCCATATACTGAGCACTCAAGGAGCCTGGCACTGTTCATGTAAGATCCCATGTGCTGCACACACTCCAGTCTGGGTTCTCATCAACATGAGGAGCGCTATGCTTGGTCAGTCAACAAATGTATTTGAGCATTTCTCTACCAGGAGCTGTGCCAGGCACAGGTTACTCGCTCTCAGAAAACTCACATTCCACCAAGGGCGAGAAGTGGGAAAGCATTCCAGACAGAGTGAACACATGCAAGATGTCCCTGACCTTGGACTGGCTTCTAATTCGCCTGCTCTGTGGCAGCTGACCGACCCCGCCCAGGTGACCTTTGCCCACCTTCGAAGGATGGGGACCCATCAGGCCCAAGGGCCACCAATGACCTGGTTCTGCGCCGGGCTCGGCATCAGCAGCTGTCAGGGGACCCTGCAGTAGAGAAGCGGCCTTCTCGAACCGGGGGCAAAGTCATCAAGTCAGCCTCAGCTACTGCCTTGTCTGTCATGATTCCTGCAGGTGATGCTGGGCCCTACCTGGCAGGGAGGGGCTGCCCCCATTTATGCCAGGACAGGCCAATGAAGACACTGTATTTTTCCTATCCACAGTGATTGGCCCTGGGGTGGACCAATGAGAGCTCTGAGACTTTGAGTAGGAAGTTGGGAGGAGCAGCTATAGGGAGACCTGTGACTGTTGGCCTTGACTTCTGACCATGGTTCTGTGTCTGCAGTGGACCCCCATGGAAGCTCACCCCTGGCCAGCCCCATGTCCCCACGATCTCTCTCCTCCAACCCATCCTCGAGGGACTCCTCACCCAGCCGGGACTACTCACCAGCTGTCAGTGGGCTCCGCTCCCCTATCACCATCCAACGCTCTGGCAAGAAGTATGGCTTCACGCTGCGAGCCATCCGTGTCTACATGGGTGACTCAGATGTCTACAGTGTCCATCACATTGTCTGGGTGAGTACGCATGGGTGGGATCTGTGTTCCAAGATGGGGGTTTGGGGGAGAGAAGCCCCCCTTTAACCCTCAAGGATGAGGGACAGTTCAATCTCTGGATCCAGGCAGCCTGGATGAGGCTCCTGTGACCTGCAGTGTTCTTCCCCCTCTGAGCTTCAGTTTCTTCCATTGTAAACTGGGAAGAATAATTACTATTTCATAAGGTGTTACGAGGATTACAGTATATGCAGAGCTAGGTGTGGGGCACATAAGTTTAGGGAGCTTCTTTGTTACTGATCCTGTTAACCCTGCACTGTGTGGTGCCCTGTCCCCAGCACGTGGAGGAGGGGGGCCCAGCCCAGGAGGCAGGGCTCTGTGCCGGGGACCTCATCACTCACGTGAACGGGGAGCCTGTTCACGGCATGGTGCATCCTGAGGTCGTGGAGCTGATCCTTAAGGTGAGTGCAAGGGAGGTAGCACACGGGGAAGAGGGGGGGAGTAGAGGTCCTGGGAGCTGGAGCTGCCTGAACAGCCTCCAGCAGGGCATTTGCCTCCTTTCTTCCCCCAGAGTGGCAACAAGGTGGCAGTGACCACAACACCCTTCGAAAATACCTCCATTCGCATCGGCCCTGCAAGGCGCAGCAGCTACAAGGCCAAAATGGCTCGGAGGAACAGGAGACCCTCTGCTAAAGAGGGCCAGGAGAGGTGGGTGGGGCCAAGTGTGGTGGGCATCGGGAACACTCCAGTTTTTGAACAGTAGGCAGGGTTAAGATGGGAGGGCTACAGGTGAGGACAGGAGAAAGAAGTGTGGGGACCACCGAGTAAAAAACGAAAACAAGAGGACAGAGAAGCAGGGTCTGGGAAAGTGGAAAGAACCAGGAAAGGAAGTTGTGCCAGGTTCCTGGGCTGGAAGAAGAGCATTGTGGTAGTGTCTTGGGCAGATGGGCAGGGCCAGTAGATCTGGGTTAGAGAGGGTGCAGTTCAGGAGGTGGTCTTGTCCTGTTGAATGTATTTAGTCGACTGGGATCCTATCTGGAATGAGCAAGCCAGGCAAGACTGGGTCAACTGAAATAATTTCCTCCCTTATAGGTAGGAGGAGCTAGGAGAGGTAGGTGGGGTCAGGAGAGTGTTCGGTTTTGATCAGTGGGTTTGAGTGAGAGGACCCGGACAGTCAGGTGAACTTCTTCCCATCCTGATAGGCCGGTGGTAGCTGGAGTGAGGGGCTAGAGAGGTGGGAGGAGCCAGAAAAAGTTGGCTCTGCTTTGATGGATGTGTAGCTTGGACAGGTAATGGCCAGCAAAAAATGAGTGGGGCCTGAGGTGGGAGGAGTCAAGCGGACCCAAGTAGGAAGTGTTTTGTTTTTTTAAATGTTTTTATTGATTTGTGAGAGAGGAAGGGAGAGGAAGAGAGAGATAGAAACAACAATGAGAGAGGGTCATTGATTGGATGCTTCTTGTACGCCCCCTGCCGGGGATCGAGGCAGCAAACAGGGCATTTGCCCTGACCAGGAATTGAACCTCTATCTCTTGGATCATAGGTTGATGCTCAACCACTGAGACACGCTGGCTAGGCAGGAAGTTCTTTTGGGTTTTGATAGGTTGATTGGAGCTGGAGCTGGAGAGGGAGGGGACAGAGGAGTGGGCAGTCCCAGGGGCTGAAGTGGGAGGAGCCAGGAGTTCCGGAGTCTCTTGTCTAAGGTAGATGGCCCTCTCCTTGTTCTCCAGCAAGAAGCGCAGCTCCCTCTTTCGCAAGATCACGAAGCAGTCGAACTTGCTTCACACTAGCCGCTCTCTGTCGTCGCTGAACCGCTCGCTGTCATCTAGCGACAGCCTCCCGGGCTCACCCACCCACGGGCTCCCAGCGCGCTCACCCACCCACAGCTACCGCTCCACACCCGACTCTGCCTACCTAGGTAAGCTCTGGGCCTGCGCTGGGTGGCGGAGGTGGGTCCTGCCAGTGCAACACCCTGTCTTGCCCACCCGCAGGTGCCTCTTCCCAAAGCAGCTCACCCGCCTCGAGCACGCCAAACTCGCCAGCGTCGTCAGCATCCCACCACATCCGGCCCAGCACGCTGCACGGTCTGTCGCCAAAGCTGCATCGTCAGTACCGCTCTGCGCGCTGCAAGTCTGCCGGCAACATCCCGTTGTCGCCGCTGGCTCACACGCCTTCGCCCACGCAGGCATCACCACCACCACTGCCAGGCCACACGGTAGGGAGCTCGCACACAACACAGAGCTTCCCGGCCAAGCTGCACTCATCGCCGCCGGTTGTGCGCCCGCGCCCTAAGAGTGCGGAGCCCCCGCGCTCCCCGCTCCTCAAACGCGTGCAGTCAGCAGAGAAACTAGGAGCCTCGCTTGGCGCCGACAAAAAGGGCGCACTGCGCAAACACAGCCTCGAGGTGGGCCACCCGGATTTCCGCAAGGACTTCCATGGTGAGCTGGCGCTGCATAGCCTGGCTGAGTCTGATGGCGAGACGCCCCCTGTCGAGGGGCCTGGCGTGCCCCGGCAGGTCGCTGTTCGCCGCCTGGGCCGCCAGGAGTCGCCCCTCAGCCTGGGCGTGGACCCGCTCCTGCCCCAGGGCACCCCCAGGCCTGCGGGGTACTCAAGTAAAGAGGAGTCCCCTGGCGGTGCTGAGGCCTGCAACCAGACCCGCACGACAACTCCCGGGGGCCGGACCCTGGAGCGGGATACCAGCAGCACACGGCACCAGAGCGTGCAGACAGAGGATGGTGTGGGCGGGGCAGCTAGGGCCATAGCCAAGGCTGCACTGAGCCCTGTACAAGAACATGAGACAGGCCAGCGCAGCAGCTCTGGTGAGGTGGGCACGCCCCCAGTGCCCATTGTTGTAGAGCCCGAGAGGTCTGGGGCCAAGGTCGAGGTGCCTCAGCCTCTGGGTTCAGACTCTAAGGGGTTGCAGGGATCCATACCCCTGGCTCCTCCTGCACAAGAGGCCCTCCAAGGCCCTGAACGCTGGGTGCTAGAGACGGTGGAGGAGCGGACCATGATGAGCGGACCTCGCTCCAAGCCCACCTCCCCCAAGCTCTCCCCCGAAGCCCAGACCCGTTCTATAGCCCCTATGAAAAATGCATCAAGCAGCACAGGTCCTCCAGCCCCATCCACTCCCCTTCTTGTCCCGGCCACCAAGCCTGAGGTGGGGTTGGCTTCCAGGTACCCTGCTGAAGCTGTGTCCCCCTCAGGCCTGACCAAAAGGGCCCCCTGCCCCACGCTCCCTGGCCCATAGCCAACGGAATCGCTGGCCCTGCACTGTACAGCCGCCTGTATACATATGTACACATATAAATAAAGTGCGTCTGTGCTTCGTGAGCTTTCTGAGGTTTGCCCCTCCTCCCTGGCAAAGCAAGGTTTCAGCCCCCTTGCCTGTGTTCTTGTTCAGGGGAAGAACTCCAGTCCTGGTTACCATAGAGACAGGTCCATGAGTCTTATGTGGACCTTTCTTTGTGGTCTCACCTATGAGTCAGCTGCCCCCAGACCCTTAGGAAGCTGCAACACTGCTGAGTTCTAGAGCCCAGCTGAAGAAAAGGTTTACAGCCTCATCTACCAGTTTCCTTTTATTCCTCACAAATTCCAAGTCAAGTGTTGTGGTTCCTATTTTGCAGATGAGTAGACTCACAGGTTAAGGCACATAGTTAAGGTCATACAATAAGGAAGGGACTAAACTGGGATTTAAGCTGAAGTCCAAACTGGATCTTAAGCTTTAGCTCTTATGTGCTCTGCTAGGCTTTCAGGAGACAAGACACTGCTCTCCTATCACAGGGCTCCCAGGCCTTCACCAGAGGCTGGAAGGCCTTCCAGAGGGCAGACAGCCGGGTACACAATATGCCCCCACCTCGGGACTCCTCTCCACAGTTCCGATTCATGTCACCCACACAGGCCCAGGGCCCTTCTGGGGCTACACACCACTTGGAGTGGTCATCTGTGGTATTGAAGGTGGGCCCAGCTGGCCCAGGGAAGGCTATCTGGGTTACATCCAGCACTTGCTGGGCCCCAGAGCAGTTGGAGGACAGGATGCCAGGAGAGTGTTGCCAGAACTGGACCTGCAGATTGCTGCCAAGGGCTTCCGCCAACCAGCCGGAGTACAGGTCTGAAGAGGATGGAAAGCGGGCATGGATAGCGTCAGGGTCTGTGCTAGAGAATCCCTAGGCTACCGACCCTCTCTGAGCTCAGTTTCCTCAGTTGTCAATTCCTGGCAATCCAGGAAATAACATTAAGACTAACAGCTCTTACTAAACACTAATATGCATCACTTCATTCACAACAACCCTTTACAGTACCCCCATTTTTTCAGATGGGTAAATTGAGAGTCCAGTTAAATCATGTACCACACAACCAGAAACCAATGGTTGAACTCAGGTCTGTTGGTTGTCTACCCCTCATGTGTTTATGGCTCCCAAAGAGTTCTAGTTCCTACCTCCAACCTGCCTTCAGCCATGGACACACCTGACACCACCTCTGCAAACAGAGTTCAGCCAACAACCTCAGTGCTCACCATCTCCAAACTTCCCAAATTTGGCAAAGCTCTGGAAGATGGTCCCTGCCTTTGATGTGAGTGTTACACTGCTGTTCCAGGGTCTGTGGCGAACATGATGGCCGTTGACCACCTCTTCCAGGTCAGGTAATTTCTTGATGAAGATTCCTTCCAGTTTGTGGGCATACACATTGGGGTAGGTGTAGTTTAGCTGTCTGCCTGGAGGGCAAGGGGAGAAGAAAATGAAGGACTGTTCCGCGTTCTGGTCTGGAGATCAGGGAATCACCCTGCCTCCTTGTCCCCACTCACCAATCTTTGAGAATTGGTCGAACGGAAAAGAAACACAGAGCAGGGTCTGCCCATATTTGTGGGCATTAGGAGGCCAGCTGTACGCATCACTTGGAGGGAACCTGGGAACACTGTGGATCAGCCAGAAGCCCCCTTCTTTGTCCAGAAGCAGCACCCCTGAACCAAAAGACTGGATCAGGGGAACAGCTCAAGGCATCTCAACAAGCACATGTACAACCAGGAACATCCTCAGTTTGCAGGGAGCCTGGAGAAGGTATGGGCAGTGCATGGACCACTGCTGAACTCTTCCCGCACATTTATATAAGATGAGGAGCACTCCCTCTCCCCACACCCTGCAGGTCAGGAGTTAGCTGGGGAAAATGCATAAGGAAACCAGAGCCATGATCTCACTTATATGTGGAATCTAAAGAACTTAATAAAATGATTAACAGAATAGATTCAATGACATGGAAGCATAGATCAGACTGACAAATGTCAGAGGGATGGAGGAGGGCAGGTGGGTGGAGGGGGAGAGATTAACCAAAGAATTTATATGTATATATGCACAACCCAAGGACACGGACAATGGAGGGAAGAGGGACTGGAGAGGGGGAGGGGACGGGGTGGAATGGGTCATTGGGGAGAAAAAGGGACATCTGTAATATTTTAAACAAAAATAAAAAACAAAAACAAACAAACAAAAAAACTAATACAAAAAACAAAAAAACACCAGAGCCCATCCATCCCCAGCTCCCAATCTGGGCCTCACCCTTCGTGTGACCCCGGCTGGAAGAGTTCCGAGTCCCACTATTATTAGGCGGCTGGTCATTGTAAAGTAGGAAGGCGAGCTGGGGGAGATGGACGGGGCGACATGACGTTTTCCTCCAGGCCGGCCCCCCTCTAGAGTCCCGCCCCAGGTTCTGCCGGCACCCCTACTCTTCACCTGGCTGGTGTTGCCGTACAGCGGCAGCAAGCTGCGGCCTACGGCTCCCTCCAAGCTGTCGATGGACCCCGCACCGTCGCGCCAGCCCCCGGAGCCCTCATCCAAGTACTTATACCGCAGCCCGGTCGGAGCCCCAGCTCCGGGCCTGCTGTGGGCCGGCAGCTTGTAGACGACAAACCTGGAGGTTGGAAAATGGAAAGAAATGGAGGAAGGGGAAGAGAAGGAGCCCCAGGCTTCACCTAGGAATGCAGCAATCCGCGTCCTGTCCCAGGGCGGACGGTCGGCCCGCGCGCTCACCAGTCCACGGGCTGCCCCGAGTCCCCGTAGCAGGTCAGGGTCCCTGCAGGGACCCACAGCAACGCGGCCAGGAGCAGCGGGCTCAGCGAGGCCATGGGGCTGGACTCGAGGAATCTGTGTTGGGACCCCGGGGCGCAGGATCACGAGTTGGGCCGGGCTCGGTCCACGGCGACTTTCATTTCCCCAAACCCGCCAGGGAACCCGGGGCGGGACCTCTCGGGATGGAAACTCCGCCCCTGAGATGAGAAGCAGAGATTTGAAAAGGCGGTGGCGGGTCCTCTGGGGGCGGCGCTCTCTTTGGGCGGTAACTCCCCAAAGGTCCCATCCCACCCAGGCAGCCTGCGGTCGCCTCCTGCTTCATTGGATGCGACTCTTGATAGGCTCCACCCCTGACTCGGCCCAGACCACGCCCTTCTGTGCCGAGAGGTTTCTCCCGTCGGGGCTTGCGACCCCTACTCCGGGCCAATCAGCGCTCTCGACCTTCCGCTAGGCCCCGCCTCCGTCTCTCTGGATTTGGGTTAATGCCAATCGGTTCTCCCACCGACCTAGCTCCTCCCTCTGCTTCTGGGTGAGACACAAATTTGTTTTTTCCCCTTTCCAGCTTTACAGCCCGATGTCCAACTCTTGGGACTTTTGCTCTTTTAAGGGGAGTTTGCCCTCTCCCCTTTCATTCTGCATGTTTTCCCGGGCGCCCCCTGAGCTAGCAAGGGGTCACTTTGGATCATGGCATCGCGAAGGGTGCTGTGGCCTCTGAGGCCGGACTGAGATGGTCCTCGCGAATGTCCCTGAGGTTCAAGGCGGGAGGCAAGGAGGATTGTAGCCTGATCTTGGGGTGGAGGAAGGAGGGGATGCAAGGCCTGCAGTACTGGAGGGGTGTCGCTGAGGTTTAGGAGATGAGTGTGAGAGTATGCCTCTCACCGCCCCGCCCCCCAAGTCACCTCTGGGGTTACAGTTTCCTCCCATCTTCCAGCACCCAAAACTCACAAAGTCAGGCCACAGCTGAAGCTTTATCTAGGAGGGGCATTGGTACCGGACCCATAACCATTCACAGCAGATGCCAGCCACTACGCGGAGCTTCAGAAGTTACAGTGTGAAGACCCCTTCTAGACCCAGGGTCTCTGAAAAGCCTCGTCCCATAACCCCTCCCGCTGTTCAGGGCTGCCTGTGAGCTGGTCTGAGTGTCCAGCTTTCTGAGGGTCTGTCTCTCCGAAGTGTTTGAGCGTCCATCTGAGTTCATTTATTTGAAGGTCTGTCTCTTTGGGTCTGCGTGACCCTAGGAAGTCTCTGGGTGGTTCCCTCCGGCTGAGGACATGTGAGAGCTTCCGTTGGAGGCTCCCCGGGGTCTATGGGCCAGTCCTTGATCTTTCTGGGGATCTGTGGGATGGAGTGTCCGGGTGAGGGTCCATCCGAGGGAAAACCACCCTGCATATATCTGCTCGTTCCATCCCCAGTCCCCAGGAAGGTCCAAGTGCTGGGGGCGAGGGGGTAGGGGGGTGGCTCAAAGATGACGCTTCATGTGCAAAGCCAGGTGATCAGAGCGTGAAAAAGCGCGAGGGCAGAGCTGGCAGCGGAAGGGGCGCTGTCCGGTATGTTTCCTGTAGTGACGGGTCAGCTCGTCCGAGCGCGCAAACCGCCAGCCGCAGCCGTCCCATGTGCAGGCATATGGCTTCTCCCCTGGGAGGCGAGGAAACTGTGAGTGCCATTGCCTACTCCACTCCTACCCCGGGTCCACCACTGCATCTGGCCACACTCCTTTGCTTAGCCTTGACCAGGACTAGGGTGAGGCAAGTGAGGCGCTTAGAGTGCAAAATTTAAGGAGGCACTCACTCTCAGGGGAGTGCACCCAGGTTGGGCCCTCTGTGGCCCTGACCCTTCTTGTTCTGTACCTGCATCTGGAGCCAAGCTTGTTTTCATTTCCTGAGCCTAACACATATCCCCCTACACTATTGGCCCATTTCCTGTGCCCTGCCTGGGTGTCCTAAAGTCGTCCTACCTTCATTCTTTGGCCCTGTTGCCTGTCGTACAGCCCCTTCCTCACTTCAGGGGACCCTCCAGCTGCGGTCCATCCTTGCCCCTGGCCTTGACTCTTAGAGTCCCGAAATCCACCTGGTGTTCCAGGTCCTGTCTGCAGTGATTACACTACCCCTCTACTACACCTGGCCCCACCCTCTATGCAGGCCCCTAAAGCAGCGATTTTCAACCGGTGTCCCCAAGAAATTTCAAAACATGCAATACCTGACTATTTAGTCAGGGGCACTGACCTCTTTTCCCTTAGGTTGTCAAGTTAAAAAAAATGACAACAGCTAACACAACAATAGCCGTCCATCTGGGTGTGAGTATCCTGTCTTGAACCATAAATAATAGAGTTGCATCTTATTGGTCAAGTCGCATAATAAGGTTGGGTCTGATTGGTTAATTGTTGTTACCAGAAATCCTTATATACAAGTATAGGCGTCTGGTTTTTTAAAAAGTCACTTTGGAGCAAAAAGGGTAGGTAATTATTAGTATTATTATTATTATTATTTATAAATCAATCAAAATTATACCTATTTGTCAGAGCGGCAAAAAAAGTAATTTTTTACGGTGTGTTGCAGAATTTTAGTAATTAGTTTATGTATACCAAGAGATGAAAAGGTTTGAAAATCGCTGCCCTGAAGGTCTCACTCTTCTTCCTCCCCACCTCTATTCCGCTGCCCCGCTTCGCTCTGCGGCTCCTCGAGACCCGGCTTCTCTTGTGCCCACTCTCCTCCCCTGTTTTCCAGCTATTTCTCCTCACTCTCCTGGCACCACTCTGCACCTGGGCACGTGAAACTGACCCCGCATCTCCTCTCCTGAGCTCCAGACACGAACCCTACAGTATGGCTTCGCCTTCATGCAAACAACCTACTCTATATACTCCTGGCTTCCCGCCCCTGAGCCCCTGACTCCGCTTCCTGCTTGCCACAAACCTGAACCCTGGGTCTTTGGCGGGGTCCCTGGCTTGCCAAGCTCGCCCCCCGCCCCCTACGCCACCCGCCAACCTTTCTGCTCCTCAGCCCGGACCCAGATCTTACCGGTCAGTTCCCAGAAACGTTGCTCAGGTTTTCCAGGTCTTCTCTCTGCCCCCACCCGCCTCCCACGCCTCTAAGTGTCCCCGAACCGTGATTCTGAGGGTCCAGGTCCGCTTCCAATTGCCTCTGTCGCGCCCCTTGCTCTGAGCCTGACTTTAGCCCCGCTGTCATTACGGGCCCGCCCCCTGGGCCGGCCTTAGCCTCTAGCCCCTCCCCTTGTTCTTCCTGTCGAGCTCCCCCGCGACCCTCCGTTCCCCAGGTTCCGCCTCCAGCCCCGCCTCCGAGTGGGAGCCGGAGCCCCGCTGCCTCACCTGTGTGCGTCCGGAGGTGCGCCTTCAGGTGCGAGCTCTTGGTGTAGCTCTTGCCGCAGCCCGGGTGCGTGCACGTGTGCGCCGCCTGCCTCTTGCGCGCCCACGAGCGCCGGCTGCGTTTGGATGGCACGGTCTCCGCGGTCCCTCTTGGGTCTCCTGCGGTTCCAAGTCCCGCACCCGCTGTTCCGGGTCCCAGACAATTCAAGAAGGAGGGGGGCGCGGCGGAGCTGGGTGCGGGAGCCGGGAGCCCGCGGAAGAGCTGGAAGTGCCCTTGGTACTGCGGGGCTGGGTACAATGCTGGGTACCCGGGTAGCAGCCCATAGGGGGCGCCGGGCGCCGCAGGCACTGAAAGCCCGTTCCGCGGAAAGTAGCTGCCGGAGGAGCCCGCACCCGGCCCCGGGTACACTGGCTGCAGCGGCAGCGCCTTGGGCTCGGGAGCGGGGACCAGGGCTGAGCTCACGAAGGCGTCGGGGGCTGGGGCTCGTGGGGCCGGGCGCGCCCAACCCTGGTGCTCATCGGGACCCAAGAGCCCAGCCACCAGCCCCGGGCCGCCCGCGTATGCTCCCAGGGTCTCGGGCTGCGGTGAGAATTGCGTTCCCGGACCTTCGTCCGGCGCCAGAGCGCAGGGCTGAGGCAGGCTGCTCGACTCTGGACCCGGCAGGTTGGTAAAGAAGAGATCCAGGTCCCAGGCAGTGGCCGGGTCCCTATCGTTGTCTTCTTCCTTCCCAGGCGCGTCCTCCGACTTTGGCCTCACATGGGGGAGCTGCCGAGTCAGGTCCGGGGGACCCGGGCCCAAGTCCTGCACCTCCTCAAAGCGCCACCACTGCGGAGGGAGCCGGTAGCGCGGTCACCAGGGTACCCTGCCCAAAGACCGAGCGGGCCTGATGCCCTGATGGGGGCAGGCTGGCCAGAGGCTCCGGAAAGGAGTCTTGTTTGCTTGTCTGTGATGTCCCACTCCCTCACACTGCCCCCCCCCACCAGCTTCAGGGACAGAGGTCGATAGGGTCTGGCTGGTGACAGGAGATAAGACTTACATTATCTGGAGCTGTACTTAGGCATGGGGGAAGGGGTGGCAGAGCCAAGGATGAAAGGGGGGGCAGCTTGCCTCAATTTCCCCCCAGAATCTCCCACTCCTTTCCAGTCCCCCTACAAGATTAATTCCCAAGATTAATTCTTGGATGTCCCTTAGACACCCTTGATCTTTCCTCCTGATCTTTCCTGGGGTTCTCTCACTGAGCCTAGACCCCCACAGTGTTCAGCTCTGAGCCACAGTTTTCTAAGACAGAAATAGGCTCTTAGACCACATTCAGACCCCTGGGTTGAGCTGAGGACCCCCAGCCCTGGCCAGGTCTCTGGATTCCAGGGCTAGATGCAGACCTGATCCCCAAGGTCTGTGACTGCAGCCCCGGACCCCAGCCAGCCACTTAGACCCTGCCTGGCCTCACCTTGAGGAAGTCTTCTTGTGTGTCTGGGAAGGGGCCTAGGGCAGTCAGCGTACTGATGGAAGGCAAGGTGGTGTCAGCTGCGGCCATGGCTGGCTTGTGCCCACCAAGAGCCTCAGGCCTCCTCTCCCTCTGTGGCCTCGTGGGCTCTGAGGCTCTGATGGCCCCTTGGAAGGCTCCTGTCTGCCCTCAGCTGATTGGCTGCAGCCCCTGATAAGGGTCAGGCAAGGCGGAGAGGGGGGTGTCACCATTTCTGGGGAACAGACCTTGCCTTGGCCTGTTTGGAGCAGAGCCTTAAAGACTGACCCTATATCCAAAGCCCAACCAAATGTTTGGGGGCTGGGGGTTCAGAGGTCTGGGGGTTCAGGTGTTGGATAAATTGAGGTACTGGCTCCCCAAAGAAGGAGAGACTTGGAGGCCTTCTTTCAGTTACCTACCTGGAGAGGGGGTAACAGGCAGAATGGGGATTCTGGGAAGGGGCTTCCAGATCCCCCTCTCCCTCAAATGGGGCCCTGAAGCCCTCCCCCTCCCCCCAGAACAGAAACAACCATGCTGATGGCGGGACTTGGCACAAGCTCCCTGCCAGGCCAAGCATTATCAGACATCCCAGACGTTGGAGGCTGCTATCAGGTGGGGGCCCAGAACAGCCAAAGCTCTGTCCCTGGCTAGTGGCAGAGCTAGAAGCTGGGGCTTCACATTAGCTTGGCTTGAAATTGCCTGGGTTATGAACTCTCAGGGTCTGAGCCCAGTGGCAGGAAGGGCCCCTGCTAATCAGCCTCCACTGTCTACCATGGATCCCCCAGGGGGTACTGCAGGGAGTGGGGCTGTGTGAAGGTTGAGGCTGGTGCCACTACAGCTGGGCCTGAGAAGTCAGCTTCCTCACCTGGATGGGTTGGAACCACTGGATCAGACCACAGGAAGTACCTGACCTGCTGGAGACCTGCACCAACCCTTGCCCTAGGCCTTGCTGCTGCCAGATTCCTGTCCCACATGGGGGCAGGATCCAAGGTGCTGCACCATGGATCTCCACTGTGGTGGCCTGGGAGCCTGGGTCAGGGGGAGGGGCAATATGGAGACACATCACAGACATGGTTCACACATACACGCGGTATGCAATTAATAGTGACACAAATTCCTGGTCACCTCAGCCACACTGACCATGTAGTCCCTGCACATATAATGGTCTGTGCATCACATAAACCAGGTAGTCAGGGAGACACAACCATATACTATTTGGGTACACAATATTGTAGTCACACAGCCCCTCAGATATAGAATTCATAATCACAGACAGGTGCTCACATAATCACACATTATTACCCAATCACATGCAATCATACACTTACAGTGACATGATTTAGCTACAACTAAACAGACACACAGGGATTCCTGGATACGTTGTCACAAAACTATAGAAGATGCAGTCACACAATCCTGTGAAACACAGATGCAGCCTCAGACACAAAGGCATAAAACCCAGTTGTGTACAACCCTTCACACACAATGATGTAGTTATACACACAGCTAACATCAGACACAGATACAATTACACACAGTACCATATAAAATCTACAACCTTCCCTAGTCACATCACCTATCACTGTCACGGTATGTAATTATTTAGTCATAAAATTGTACAAATACCAATGTCCAACCATAGGGGGTGCACTTATTCAAACACAGACAACTGCACCAATGTGGAATGAAACACTCTAATAAGGAAAGACATGTGACCTTGCCCAGACATAGACACCATCAATCAGAGTTGGTGTGCCACAAATGCATCACACAAGACAAAAAATTATGTGCAAAAAGAGGGGTGGGGGTAAAAAGTAATGTAAAACCCAGTTCTTCAAACCAAGTAGGATGACTATAAGCAAAAAAAAAAAAAAGGAATATATCAATTGTTGGCAAGGGTGTGGAGAAATTGGAACCCTAGCACACTGCTGGTCAGAATATTAAATGGTACAGCTACTGTGGGAAACTTCAAAATGTTAAATTTAGAGTTACCATAGGTTCCAGCAATTCCCCTTCTAGGTATATACCTCCGAACTGAAAACAGGGGCTCAGACACAGCAGCGCTATTCACAATCCCCAAAAAATGGAAGCAACCCAAATATTCGTTATCAGATGAGTAGATAAATAAAATGTGGTCCATTCATACAATAGAATATTATTCAGCCATAAAAGGGATGAAGTTATACATGTTACAATGTGAATGAACCTCTAAAAGAAGTGAAAGAAGCCAGTCACAAAAAGTTACATATTATATGATTCTATTTATATGAAATATCCAGAATAGGCAAACCCATAGAGACAGAAAGATTAGTGGTTGCCGGGAGTTAGAGGGGGGAGGGAATGGGAAGTGACTGCTAATGGGTACAAGGTTTCCTTTTGAGGTGATGGAAATGTTTTGACACTAGATAAAGGTGATGGTTGGGCAACACTGTGAATGTACTAACTAAATGCCACTGAATTGTACACTTTAAATGGCTCATTTTATGTTATATAAATTTTACTTCATTAAAACAAAATGGCTGGAATTAGAGTGGTTTTCTGGAGAGAAAAACAGTCTCTTTTAAGGAGAGATTTCCTTGGTTTAGGACAAGGCACTAAGCAGTCATGCTTGGCTCTGCAAGATGAGGCAACAGTAAGGGCCCAGAGAGAAAGAGGCATTTGGCTGGGAGATAAGGCCTCTGGGATGATATGGCCAGTAGGGGTAAGGGACTTTGAAGGACAGTAAGGCCTGAGACTTGATTTGGGTTTCCACCTGGGCATAGAGAACTCCAGCACCCACAACAGCTCCAGGGCAGGGAGCTTTGGAAGGAAGGAGTAGAAAGAGAGAGGTCACTGGCTCCAGGAGGGAGGTGTCCAGAAAAATAAGAGCTATGCAGAATCCTAGATATTTCAGGATGGTGATGGACCGCCTACTGTGTAAGGAAGAAGATTCAAACCATTTTATTTTGATTTTAAGGGCAGTAAGAACACAGAAAGTGGAAGAATCCAGGGACACCCAGACCACAGCACCTGGGGACTTGCAGGACAGTGATCACATTCAGACTCAATCCCACAGTTACTCTCATCACACTCAGCCACAGTGTGTGAGGTAGAGCATGCTACACACACTACGCTACCCAGAGTATGTATGTGGGAAGAAGTGTTCCTGGGTGGACAAGGGCCTGTCCTGGGAATTGGGAGGCCTGGATCCCAGTCCTGGTCCCTGCTCTGCATGTGGCCCACTGTGGCCTTGAGCAAATCTATTTTGCAATCTGGGCCTTACTTTCCCCAAATGGGAATGGGAGGGTCATGGTAGATGTGTTTTTCATATACAGATATGGTCAAGCATTATACACCCAGACAAATGCAAACTACATAAATGCTCTTAAAATCGACCTAGGTAAGTAAGCCACTCACTCAGGCATATGTCACAGTCAGGCACATAATCACACAAACTGCACATAAGCCAAAGCACACTGACATATATAGATACACAAAATCAAAGATATAAACAATATTTAGTCATAGTATCACAAAGATAACAGCCACACCTAGAGAGAAAGCCACCAAAACACAGTCAGTCTGTGTTACAGACAATCACACAAATACAGGCTTACAATTACATAGACAAGAAACTACAAAGATATTCAACCACACAGATAGGACAGTCACAGACAGTAACACAACCACCCACAGTCAACAGTCCCAAATGTGACAGGCATAGTCAGTCCCACCCACATACATATACACAGTCACTTAGGCACATTGACACACATAGATGCACAGAATCATATAGCACAAGGAATAACACCGAGTCACATAGTCACGTGCAGCAGCACGTGCTTCCAGGGACAGAGTAGCAGACAGGTTGGTCTAAGATGGCCCATCAGGGCCCACCTCTTCCTCACACACACTGCACCCCATTAGAGGAGAACTCGAGGTCTGGACTTAGTCTTCTCCTGCCTCAGTTTCCTCGTTTAACTCCTGAATCCCTTCGCACACGCCTCCTGTAACTGACCAACCAAGAGTGGGCCGAGCCCCCTCCTATGGCCAATCAGAATAGACATACAGCTGGCCAATCGGGTTGGTGGATTTGTGTGTGTGTGTGTGTGTGTGTGTGTGTGTGTGTGTGTGTGTGTGTGTGTCCTCTCCCTCCTTCTGCCCCGCTTCCCCTTCCCTCTCTCTCGCCCCCACATTCTCCCTCCCTCTTTCTCTCCTCCCCCTGCTTTTCCTGCTTTGCTCCTTAAAGGGATTAACGTTCCTCTGGCTGTGTCCGCTGGCTTCCTCCGGTAAGCCTGCCATTGCCCTTTTAAAATGCAGACCGGTAAGGAGCTGGGTCTCAGGACGAACCAATGAGAAGCCCCATTCGGCCTCCGCCCCTCCCACCCCCCTGCGAGAGGTCAAAAGCTTGCGTCAGTTGCTCCTTGGCCTGTGAGCAGAGCCGGGAGGCGCCTAGTAGAGACTGGTTTGTGGGGGCGCTAGGGGCCCGGCCTGCGGGTGGAAGCCGCTCCGCTCTGACATCCCCGCTTCTCCAGGTCGGTGGTGGTTGCTGCACTCGCCCGCCCGCTGCCCACATGGCCCTGAGAGGCGTCTCCGCGCGGCTGCTGAGCCGCCGACCCCTCCTGTGCTTCCAGCGCGCGTGGGGCTCGGCGGCGGCGTTGACCGGTCAGTGCTGGAGAGGGGGTGGGGTGGGAAGGGTGGAACTGGAGACTTGGGGACTTCTCCGGGGTGATTTTCTCGTCCTGTGTTTGCAGAGAAGGGCGGGAAGACACAGAAACGACCGGCCAAATGTAAGGACCCCTCGTCGCGCGTGCTTCTGAGGCCCTTGTCCTAATGTCTGTCTGCTCTGGGTGGGCTCCGTCCCAGAGTCGGAGGGCTGCCGGGGCAGGGAGACAGGGCCGGGGCTAGGGCCGGAGGCGCTGAGTCAGCAGTGAGTTTCCCGGAGAAAGGGCCCCTTGCCAGTCCTGTTTGCAGCCACATCCAACCTCGAGCCAGATAGGGGTGGAGGATTCAGGGAAAGGAGGGCGCGGCGGGCTGAGGGAGGTGTGGGCTGGGCTGAGTTGAGCCCCTGCTCCCTATCCCAGCCTTTCGTCCTGAGTTTGACTGGAGGGACCCGCTGGTGCTGGAGGAGCAGCTGACAGCTGATGAGATCCTCATCAGGGACACGTTTCGCACCTACTGCCAGGAGCGCCTGATGCCTCGCATCCTGCTGGCCAATCGCAACGAAGGTGCCCAGGCAGGCTAGTGGGCACCCTCCACCACTCTGCCTGCTCTAGCTAGGCCTCTGGGCACCTCTGTCCCTGGCGTGCGGTTTCCAGTGGGTTAGGGCTAAGACTGAACTTGGACATCTGTCCATTTGCAGTTTTTCACCGGGAGATCATCTCAGAGATGGGGGAGCTTGGTGTGCTGGGTCCCACTATCAAAGGTAAGGACCAGTTTCTTTCCACACTCTGCAGCCCCAACTGTGTGCTGGAAAGCCCCTTCCTTTCCCTGAGCCTATTTCCCAGTCTGTAAAGTGAGGCTGTTATCCCTCTGTCCAACTGTAGGAATGAAATGAATAAACCCTCAAGCTAGGGCCAGCTTGGTGCTCCCTCCTTGGGTGCCCCTATGTATCTCTGTCTCTTGGGCCTCAGGAGTCACTGTTCCCAGCTGGGCAGGCTTTCTTCCCCATTGCCCTATCTCCCCTCCCCACTCCTTAACCAGGGTATGGCTGTGCTGGAGCCTCATCTGTGGCTTATGGGCTCCTGGCCCGGGAACTGGAGCGGGTGGACAGCGGCTACAGGTCAACAATGAGTGTCCAGTCCTCCCTTGTCATGCACCCCATCTACGCTTATGGCAGTGAGGAGCAGCGGCAGAAATACCTGCCCCGGCTGGGTGAGTGGCTTCCCGTGGAGCCTGGTGGAAGCCTACCTTCTGTTCCCACTTCAAGGATAGCACCAATGGCCACCAGAACCCTCTGCCAGAGCCTGGGCTTCATCCCCACATCTAATCCTGACAGTCTTCTCATAGGTCTCTCTTGATTCTCTTTGGCCCTTTCTCACCACCATCATCTCTCTATCTCCCTCTTGATTTGCTGTCTTCCCCCATCCCAGCCCAAAGTTTGAAGTCTTAACTTCCTGACTGAGTCCAAGAGGTAACCTGGTAACCTTTCACTCTCATCTGTGGTCACTCTTGACTGCTCTGCCCTAGTCAGACTCAGCTACTTGGAACTCTAAGTGTACCACTGGGGCCCAGCAGGAATGGCTCAGCAGTTGAGCGTCATCCTATGATCCAGGAGATTGCAGTTCAATTCCCGGTCAGGGCACATGCCTGGGTTGCAGGCTCGGTTCCTGCTTGGTCTCCAGAAAGGAGGCATGCAGGAGGCAGTGGATCAATGACTTTCTCTCATCACTGATTTTCTTTTTTCTTTTCTTTTTTTTTTTTTATAATTCTTTTTTTTTTTTTTT